CCTATATGAGATCCTAACAACATCATGGCATGCTCAATTGTCTCTTAGCCTGGCTATGTCATGCTCAATTATCTCTTAACCAAGCTTTGTTAGGCTCTTAACCATTGTTGTAGCTTACCACATATTCCATGTCCCCTTATCCATATCTAGCTACTAACTATAGGACCCAACTGTCTTTGTTTACACATCGTATGTGTATTGATGAATTTCTCATAATTGGTGTTGTTGCACATGTAACCATTTTTATAGTAAGTGACTATGATCCAACTACTTGATACAAAGATCTATTAGATTGCTCCTTAGAAATTGTGGTGCAATCATATCACAACTCAATTGGGCATGTATCTTTCTAGGCTTTCACAGTTTTAGTTATCAGTGAGTGAGGCCTATTGAGATCGTGTTATAAATGTCGTAGCTAAACCTATTGTTGGTAGAAGTGACATTTTAGCTTCGAAATATCAATTAATTGAATTTCGAACTCTAGGTATTGTTTCCTGGCCTTCGTATATGAACATCTTCAAATAGGGCTTATTGCTATTTTATCTAACGATTTATTGACTCAAGAATCTACTATTATGCAACTCAACCTTCTCCTCACTAAGCGGAAGACATTCCGAAAGAGCAGTAGATTTCTAGATGTATTTAACTACGGTTCAAAATTTTTCGCCTAAAGAGTACCAATAAAAGGTGGGACAATTTTCCCGAGTTAAAAAGACTTTCCTTTCTTTATGTCTTCACAAAAAATTGAATTCATTCTTCACTGCCCAGTTTGCTGGCTTGGCTGCTTGATTGGCAATTGCCATAGAAGACATCTATGTTGTACTAGCAAACATAGCAAGATACATATTAAAAAAATAGATTGAGCCAAATGCCGACCTAACAAGGACGCTTGGGGATACTTTTCAGTTTCTTGACAGGTTGATGTACAACCAGAAGGTGAATGCTTTACCAAACTCTTTATTAACTTTCATGTGTATTGATTTTGCTTATCACAATACTATCTAACACCACTGGTAGATAGTTTTGTTATGACAAATTAGGTGGGCCTCATGCCCTACCTTTCATGTCAGGCACACTTTTATTGCTTCCAAGATTTGTCAAGTAAGCCGTGTAGAACTGTGAAATCCGCCATTCTCTGTCGGACACTGTCTAGGCTAAACTGGGCTTTGTCAAGCTTGATATCATGTCTTTTTCTCATGCATATGTTGACTGCTGAGTCGATCATTTTAGTGTCATGTTGGCTCTTTTCCAACCTCATGTCATTGCTCGGTCACCCCTAGGATGAGCTTGGATCTCGAGAGCTCCCTATTTTCGTTATATTTTTGGAATACTCGAATATGTACATACAAAAACCATGACTAGAACAACCAGGCGTGTTTTTGTCCAGCTAAAGATAAAAACAATGCACCAACAGATTTTTTCTTGCCATGTCATATTTTTTGTTAGCCATGTAAGCATATCAATTAATTTAGAATAATTCTCTGCTTATTCACATAAATCATACAGGTGCATTTTCTGCCATTGTTGTGTTGAAAACCAATGCAAAATTGCCAAGTATTCTTCAATAAAAATTCTGCTATACTTAGCATAACTGATTAATTTAGCAGACTGAAGCTGTGTGTCTCTGTGTCTGTGTGTGTGTGAGAGAGAGAGAGAGAGAGAGAGAGAGAGAGAGCTTGGCGACTTGGGTCAAAAATCCTATTTTGGATTACCTACAATGTTTTTAATTTTAACCCAACAACTTGAAGCCACTCCAAATTTTGAGAAAAATGGAGCTCAAACATGGGCTAAATGCCATCTTCTTGATAAGCATAACAGAGAGCAGATGTGACATGAATATGGTGGAAAATGATTTATATCTTGATGTTCATTTAACAAGAGGTAACCGTTTGAAACAAAACCAACGCGGAGAAATAAGAAAAACAAGAACGAAGAGTAATGGAACCTTATCAGCAAGCAGCTCAACTTTCTTGTATCAAAACAAGCAGACAGAAATTGTTCAGCATTGAAAATTTAGTTGAGGGGAATTGCAGAGGTACTCATGGATTCTATATCCTTTATCAATCGATCCAAATTACAATAAGATGATCCCCCTTCACTCAAACATCTCTTCGCCGATTTCGACATCTGATCAGCCCTTTGTAGAAACTCCTCTTTCCTTACCTCCATAAGATTCCTCACCATTTCCTCAATGATACTTCTGTCACATGTATCTTTCATATCCAATCCAAGCTTCCATACCTCCCCAACAAACCTACAATTCACTTGCTGATCAAGGAAATAAGGCCAGCAAATCATGGGAACACCCTCGTATATGCTCTCCAAGGTTGAATTCCACCCACTATGAGTCAAGAACCCACCCACAGCTGGATGGGCCAAAACATCTTCTTGAGGAGCCCAACCCACAATATACCCCCTCTCTTTTCTACCTTCCGATAAATCCACTGTACTCCGATGATCCCAGTCTCGTTCAGCAATAGAGTCAGGCCTTATGACCCACAGAAATCGCTGACTACTATTTACCAAACCATGCCAAAACTCAATGACCTGGTCTTTTGTCATTACTGCAAGACTTCCAAAGCTCACATAGATTACAGACTTCAATGGTTGTTCATCCAGCCATGTAATGCAGCTTTTGTCTTCTTTCCATAAACTATTAGAAAATGCAGGCGGCAATGTTTCTTTTGCAGCTAGTTTGGCTTTTAGATGTGCATGTAGCGGTCCAATGGTGTAGATATTAGGACACACACTGCGCATGTGGGAAAGTATTGGCCCTTCTAATTCTTCAAATGTGTTCAATATGAGACCATTAGCTCGTGCATTTTCTGTGCACTCCGTCTTATATAATTGGATATTTGGATCAGCTAAGTTTCCGGATCGGAAAAAACTTGGGAGGTCACGGCGTCGGAGATAATTTTCCATGCCTGGTACACTCTTTATGAGTGCATCCAAATCATCATCTACAGTAAAAAATGATATGAATACTAAAAACATTCTCTCATCTAGCAACGATAAACAATCAACATATATGTCGTATTCTTGTTTGCCTAATGCAGAAAAATTGTGCATATTTTACAATTTTAATCCCATTGTCAAGGGGGGGGGGGGGGGGGGGGGNGGGGGGGGGGGGTGGGGGGGGGGGGGGGGGGGGGGGGGGGGTTGCGGATTGACAGGAAAGCATAAGAAGTTGGAAATGTAGACCGGGGATCATGAAAATTTGGTGCCAGTAAGTAAATTGCACCGTGAAAGCATTTTTGATTGTTTAATTTACGATTTTGACAAACACATTTTTGCCAATAAAACTCTCTTACAATGATCAATGCCTTGTATAAAGGGCCTTTGAGGCTTTATGTATAACCTTTTCATAAAGACTTGGGTGACTTTTCCCCACATCAGGTTAGTAAGATCTCTATAGGTCCAGTATTCCCTTCTTTGTTCAATGAAGTTTTCAACCCTTAAAACTTTTCAACAACCATATCAATAGATAAATTTAACTACAAAGCTCAATGACAGTTTTTATCAAAGTTTTTCATTGAAAATGAAATTTAACGAAAATATACTCATTAAATATAACTTTTGTTATAATGAGATAACATGCATTCTTCTTCCTTCCATTGTACTGTTAGATTAATTTTTATGGTGAATACATAAGATACTCTAAAACTACCAACAAATACATTTTCCCAGTAAACTATTTCATTTTCAAGATTCTAGCTAGTGATACATAATATAGAAAGCATAAATTAATTCTTAAAAAACGTGAAAATAAATCAAATGCTAAATTATTGAAGAATCGAATTTCACTCACCTCTAAAGGGAAATTCTCCAGCTTCAATGAGTTTAGGAAGGCAAAAGAAGACCCAAAGGCAGCAAGCACTAATAGTCCTGACAGAGAAAATGGGGACACCAACTTCATTAGCAACATCACCAGTAAATCCCAATATTCCATCTGCTATAATACATGTCACCGGCGGCCGGTGATTGCCAGAATCATTCAATGAAATCAACAAATCCTTAAAGAGTGGTTCAGTTTTAGACTTGAGAGAATCAAACAACTCCATAAATCGATCTCCACGAGGGTGATCTTCGGGTAGCCCATCTGAAACGGTCTTGATTTGGAAACCTGGGTAGCAATCAAAACGGGTCTGGATATTGGAAAAACGAAGAAGGCGGGCATAGAGGTAGTCTGTAACGACAAAGGTTATCTGAAGGTCAGCAAGGCAAAGCAGCTCTGCTAACTTGAGCATGGAGTTGACGGGGCCCTGAAGCGGTAAGGGAAAGATGAGTACATGAGGAGGTGAGACTTTTTGTTCATCCATTGTCGACCGGCCTTTTTCAGAATGAATAGGGAAATTATTGAAAATACCCCAAATTTATAGCCTTTCCAAAATATCCCTTTTCACTATTCAACCATATAAACTATCTAAAATACCCCTAAAAACAATAATTGCAACCAATGCTATCAATATAAGAAAAGAATACAATTATGTCCTAAA